ATCCTTCCTTTCTGGGGAAGCAATCAATGCCCAGCACTCAATCTTCATTCTAGTTGTACAGGGAAGCTGTCTCTCTGCAAGCAGTGGCGGAGGCTCTTCCAGCCCTAATGGGAAGAGGCGTGTGTCTGCTTTGTATTCAAGTTGTTAATACGAGCCTTGGGCACTGCGCGCCTGCGTTAAAAAAAAAAGAAGAAAAAAACAGAAAAATGAGAAAAGCAAAATGAAAAAAAAAAAAAGAGAGAGAAGGGTTCAGAATACCCCTACTGAAAACGGGAACTACGTGGGCATCACAAAAATGAGTTATGATTGCACTACGGGCCAAGATACAGTTCCGAATTGCAGTTCGGGCAATGTTTACAACCCACCTTTCTGGCCAGGTGGGGTGCCCCAAGTGCAATTGCAAACTGTATCTTGCCCCACTGTGCAATTATAACTCGTTTTTGTGTCTCTACTGATGTTACCCCTCTTACCATAGCAGTAAGAGCAGCGATTCAAAATGGAACTGGTGGTCCTCCTCTGTGGCCTGATGTGGGTCAGGCCACAGGAGAGGATCACTCTACACATGTGAGCAAAAATGTGGCCAAATCTGTTTTCCATGGTGAGAGTACCAAGGTGTGAGCAATGGAGTGTGAGCAGTGGAAATCTCATTGTTTCTTCGAGAATCCTTTGCCAGTTCTCGGCCAAGTCCAGTTGATGTAGCTCAGTGGTTAGAGCACCGGTTGGAAATGCGCATTGTGGTATGAGGTTGCGGGTTCAAATCCGCAGCCGCCCACATGGACACGGGCAGGGCGTTAGAATGACGCACGGCTGGACACACACCCCTTGGGCTGACGCATGGTAAGCTATTACAGACACTGCCTGCGCACCACCCAGGGGACTGTCCATGGTGTTGTATGTTGGGTCCTGGCCTATGAGAGGTTTGCCTGATACAGTTAGCAGTCTAATGAGGATGCAGGTATGGGTTTGTGGTTAGACTGCCCATGTGTGTTGGTTACCTTAGGCTCTGCTTTTGGGGGGCCAAGGACCTTAGGTGGGATGGGGTCCCGTTTGGGGGGAGGGTTGGCTTGGGACAAGCTCTGCTGGAGGATATTGGTGGGGAACCTACAGTAGGGGATCGTCTTAAACCACCAGTACCTGGCCCAGCTATCGGCCGCGGCGCTTCCCGTATACGCGCCGCGCCATTTGGGCTTCGGCCTGCCGGACCGCATTGGCTGGAGGCCGCAGGCAAAACGAAAAAGAAAATTGCAATGGCGGTTCGGCAGGACTTGGCGCGCAGCGTGCTGGGAGGCTCCGATTCAATAGCTGAGCGAGGTACCGGTGGTTTAAGGGATCCCGGTAGGAGGGGTGTTAGTAGACAGACTCTGGTGGAGGAAACGGTTGGGGAACCTGCAGTAGGGGCTGTCTGAGGGGGATCCTCCAAGATAGGATGGTCTGGGTCTCATAAATTAGTTGCTGACTGTAGATAGGTACCTGTCGTGGGTCCAGAAACCGACCTCTACAACACCCTGGGCTTCAAAAAAAAAAAAAAAAAAAAAAAAAAAGAACCACACAGGAATTTTCAGAGTGTACATTTGTATCTTATAGCAGCCAGCTCAACATCCAAAGAATCGGGCCGCAAACTAGGCCTAGCGGCCGTGGCTGCAGCCGACTTTTTCGGCTGCAGCAGCCGAATTGCCCGCGGCCTAGGCCACGGGTGTCACATAGTGATCCGGTAGGGCCCGTGGAGCGACGTGTGGGCCTGTAGTACCCCACATGGAAGTCGTTGCGCCGGTAGTACGAAACGGCCGAGTTTCGGGCCCCCAAAACCGAAAAGGTTTTGGGATGGGCGCTTTCTACCAATTATCCCGCTTTGGATGGTTGCTTTTCTCTTTCGTGGTTTCATTATTTTTTGTATGGCGCTCATATTTTTTTGAATTGCTTTCTCTTGTTGCACGGCGGGCGGATCTGGAGTGCCTGGATCATTCTGACGGGGCTGCCCCCTTTTTCTGTAAGGGATGCCGGGTGCAGTTTTCGGCAGTGTATAATTCAGCCTTGGGCACTGAGCCCGTTTGTCAAAACGAAAAAACAAAACAAAACAAAGAGGGCAGTACTGGTACCGTCCTCTGTGAAAACTGTCTGCTGGACCTCTGCCGAGCAGAGGGAGTACAAAGAAAGCCATCGTTTCCACTCACAAAAAGAATAAAAGGTCCTTCTGGACATCCGTTAAAATTGGAACGATACAGAGAAGATTTTTTTTTTTTTTTTTTTTTTTTTTTTTTTTTGAAGAAAGGCAGCCGGGAACCGGGCCCGGCGTCCCGTATATTTCAATAAGCCAGGAAACGGGCCTGGCGTCCCTCACAAGAGGTAGTTGGCCCCATCGAAGGGCGAGACATCACCGGTCAAGCCCTAAGATAGGACCACTGTGTGACTGCAAACCCTAAGATCCATGAAAAAAATACTAGCAAATAGCTGCAAACCCTGATCATCCAACCCTAGTACTGATTCAACATACGACAGGTTTAATAACAACAGCTAGTTTCTACAGGGCAACAAAATCAACAAGTCAACATAAGCCTATTCTCGATACAGAGAAGTTTAGCATGGCCCCTGCGCAAGGATGACACGCATAAATCGAGAAATGGTCCAAATTATTTATAAAAAAAAGAAAAAAAAGGATAAAAGTGAAAAAGAAAAACAAATAAAACACACTGAAGGCATGTGATTGCTCCGCGCCTCTGATAGGGAGTTTTTTTGTTTTCTTTGTACAAGCTGGCCCATAAGGCCCAAACATTTTCTTTTTGCCGAGCCTCTGACCTCCAAAGAATGAGGTTGACATTTAATTTTCACTTGCAATGGATCTACAGCTGTGAAAGGCAATGGCAAGTACTTGTCAAATCTGGACAGGACTGCCTTTCAGGCCTTTTTTATTCATCATTATAGTATTACGGGGAAGTTGGGGGAACCCCGTAGCAGCCAGCCCGTGTCCAAGTCTCCAACGAGGGAACCTGCAGGGGCTGCACCTGACCTGCAGGTGGGCGATACCGGCAAGGGGTCAGCCGGTAGCATCAGGATCGAGGTCTTCGATGGGCCAGTCGCTGTACCTCCCCTCTGGTCCCCTCCCCCTGCGAACATCAGCAGTCAGCGCTGTACCTCTCCTCCGGTCCTCTCCCCCTACGACCATCAGCAGTCACTGCTCAATGCCGCTCGGGGGAACCAATGGGCTATCTCTCGGTGGCAGGCGCTAAGCTTCAGAGGAAGCTACATGAGACCAGTGGGGATCGGACCCAAGATCTGAATGGATGGACAGGGAGTCCCGGGTAAAGAGCCGAGATTCTTTGATCGCAGGAGAAAAAAAAAGAAAAACAAACTGAATTTCAAGCTCTAAACTACTAGCAGTGTATCTACCTATGTTCTACCAGAAGATTCATCCTCATTTTGCACATTTGTTCAGTAGTGGGAAAAAAAAAAAAAAAGGGCGATGGCCTTGAGGTATTCAATATCAGGGGGAATACTTAATCACTGACGGTATCTACGCAAGTTTTTCGGAGGCTGGATCCTTAGTCTGTTTTCAGGGTTTGATGATATCTATGCCAGTCTCTTTTTCGGAGGCTCGAGCCCTGGTCTGTTTCAGGGTCTGATGATATGTACGTCAGTCTTTTTTGAAGGTTTCGATCCCTGGACTGTTTCAGGGCCTGGTGGTATCTATACAAGTCTTTCTGGAGATTCGATCCTTGGTCTGTCCCAGGTCTCATTGGTATAACGTTTCTTTGGAGACTTGATCTCTTGATCTGAGTGTAGGAAATTAGCCTTCGATCTGGGTTTTTTCTTTTTTCTGACTGTAGGACCTAAGGCTCTCGTTTAAGTCGAAGGCTCCATCCCGTTCCCCGTTAGCTTTTTTTATTGGTAGTATAGTCGGTCTTCTGGACACTTCTGAAGTTATTTTCTGTCACTTGACTAGGATATATACGCTGTGGTCAACCATTGTTGTACTTGCGACGATGACGACCAAGACCCCTGATGATAGCTGATTGGCGGGTCAGCTGAAACTAGTCGGGTCATACAGTTGTGCTTTTCATGTTACATTTTTACGAATGTCGCGTTTGGGAGCTATTTGCGTATTATTCCTTTGTCTTACTCTTTCTCCTTCCTTTCCTCTCCTTCTTTCCATTCCACTCTCTTGCTCCCTGGTTGATCTCATGTGGTGATTACTGACGAAGTTGTTTGCTGATATGCACACTTCTTCAACTCACGAAGTAACCTCCGTAGGAATTACACTACGTGAACGAGTGGCTTCGTGTTTTAAGTATGGCGTCAGCTGGAAATCGGGTCCAGCATCCCTTGTACAATGATATGAAAGGATGCCATACTATGCATCCAATGATATGTGAGGGTGTTCGTTAAGTTTGTTTATCTCCCCATAGAGCAGAAGGCATTGATTACTTCCCCGGAGAAGGGAAGGATTGACCTCCTGCGTACATGACCAAAACCCTAAGTGAGACCATCTCCATCAAGCAACCCAACAGCCAAAACACACCCATGCACAATACCCTAAACAACCTACCCCTACACATCATCATGATTGGGGATTGGAGGCCGGGCAATCCCAATCAGTGGAGGGTCGTCGTTTATCCCACTCCCACCCGCTGTGTAGCGAAGAAATGCAGAACAACAGGGAGAGACACCACGCAGAAGCCGTTGTTGTTGTTGTTATTGTCGCCGTTGTTGTTGTCAATGGTATTGTTGATGTTGTCGTTGTTATTGTCATTATTGTTGTTGTCGTTGTTATTGTTGTTGTTGTTGATGCTGTTGTTGTTGTTGTTAGCCGCCTCCAACACTGCAGGCGCCGCCATAGATGATGTCGTTGATATGATCGGTATTGGCGTCGTGATCCTCGTTGTCTTCGCGGCCTCCAATATCGCCGGTGTCGATGTTGTTGTCGTTGTTGTTGTTGTTGTTGTTGTTGTTGTTGTTGTTGTTGTTGTTACTGATGTTGTTGTTGGTCTTGATGTTAACGTTGTTACCTCTGTTGCCACGTGCGCCTCCTCACCATGAATATCGCCCTCCACCCGGTCTTCCAGAAGAGCACACAGATCGCGACCCTCATTGAAGAGGGTTTTGCAGACAGACATGATGCCATCTGCCCTCCTCCAATCGATGCAGACGTCAAGCCGAGGATCCGGCCCCTCCTCCAGCTCCCAGATGATCTCCAGCATGTCCTCACTTCTATCCTTCAGCCAACCAGCCAGAAAAATCGCACCCCCTCCGACCTCTGGCTCCACTTGCAGCCACAAAGACATGTCCCTCACAATCTCCTGTAGCCATCTGCGTCCGTTCTCCAAGGTAATCAGCCATTCGTTCGCTCCAAGATGTAGCTCCCTCTCCAAAATCTCCTCCATGGTAGCCATGGCTCGCTCAAAGAACTGCACCGCTATTGTGCAGTAACCTCCAATCAATCACGGCTGGCGCTTCCCCTGTTCACGCATCGCGGGGCATCCACGCCACCAAACGACAGGTGGCACGTGGCAAGCTGAAAGCCACGGCCATGTGTCAGGCGCGTGCACAGGCCCAACGGCCTGGAGGGGGATTACCTCTCCAGCACGCTGGTCAAGCCGGGTGCGGCCGGCATTAGGGCGCTAACACTAGCGCAGCTCTAGGGTACTATTGTTCGTACTTGGATCCCAAACCCTCTTACCCCATTGCTCACTCAAACTCTGCCATTGTCCCTGCTCGACCACCTCCGTTACTTACTTTGCCCTCTAGTTCTGCGTCAGCGGCCGTTGGTGTTACCAATGTGGCAGGTAGTTACCAGAAGGGTAACGACAGTACCAAGTAAGGCAGCGGCTCGAGTTTCTGAAAGTGACGGTTGCGGATATGAAGATCAGGGCCTCTCCCCAAGTGGTAGTGGTGTCTGCTCTTATCAGCGCCACTATCACCGGAGGGGGTGATTTCAACAAAAAAAAAAAAAGATCAGGAATGATGTATAAGTAGAATGTGAGAAGAACAAGCAACCTGAAGAAAAGAAGATGAAGAAGGAACGAGAAGATGAGGAACGAAGAGCGAAGGATAGAGAAGAAATTGAGGACTTTCATAGACAATTGATGGAGTCAATGAACAGTAAATTAGACAGTGTGTGTATGGCACTCTCCTGGAAAAAGTTGGAGGAAGTTGATGCTTCACGAAAAGTGGAAACAGCTCGTGCGACTGCTGTTCATATGGATGCGACTAAATGTGGGAATGATGATGTGCTTGCTAAGTTACTTGCTGAATAGGAGCGAATGAAATTCAACTTGAAGAAGCGCTATCTGCAAAATGACGGTTGGAGACTTTGGAGAAAGAAATGGAGGTTCTTCGAATTGCCAGGGACGATGCACATGCGGAAGCCGAAGCGTAGAGACAAGAGGCGATACGGCCTGACTCTAAACATGGTTGTGTGGCGTTATCAACGCCAAGTGCACAAGCTACCATCCACCCTCGGCAAACTCCTGCGAAGACTCCTACTGTACGTGTTGAGTACAAGGATCTCAAACAGATGCATCAGATGGAGGTCGACACTTTGAAAGAAATGAGAATATGGGAGTTTAATAGCCGGACGGAGTGCGCCCCCGGCCGACGCTACGTACTCAAGGCAACGGCGCGCGACGGCGATGGTGGCCCTTCTTTTTGAAGCCCTGGCGCTTAGCGCATGCGCAGGAGACTGCAGGCGCTTGACCACACCATGTCACAAGCTGATGTGGCAGTTGGTCTGACTCCCAGTGACGTTCAGTTTCTGGGAGTTCCACGTTTCATTCCATTGCCGCTGCGTTGCTGCACGTGGCATTTGGCCTGAGAGGCGTTGGCTATGTCGATGTCTGTGGAGCACAGTGGAGTTAGCCCTAGGTATCCTGAAGTGTGAGTGATTTCAGTAACGATCTGTCATTGCCATACTGCTCGCCATCATCCTTGCCATCACCATCACTACCAAGTCGCGATTCGACATCACCCCACGGCTTCCTGTCAGGGGTATTGCTCGACATCAGGGGCACAGCTTGGACTTGTCATCACGTATAATCAAGGCACAGTTATCGCCATCATAATGAGGCTATCAGGCGCGCTGTTCGTTATCAAGTTGATGCTCGTCATCATCATCATCAAGGTTTGCTAGCATCATCATGACGTTAGTTGTCATCATTAGGATATTATCTCTTATCATCACTTAAGGAAAGGGTGTGATTAGTCGTTTTTTCATCACCATTAGGTTTGCTCGTCATTCTAATCATCATTACATTCTGTGTGGGCTTTGTCATTACCAAGCGTCATCATCACAGTGTTGCTCGTCATTACCACCATTTGTAGCATCACCATCATCATGATTATCAATCTCATCACCATCATCCTTATAAAATAATTCCCTTAACTGCACTCCTGAGTCCTTATTAGTGGGATGTCACCGATATCATCTGCAGGCGAGTCTGCTCGCCAATATCATCCTTAAAATCTTCAATCTTAGGGTATTGTTCTCTGTCACCCATCCAATCATAAGTCCTCAATACCATCATCGTCATTACCACATCTCTGGCAGTATCATCGATATCATTATCATCATCATTACTATCATCCTTATAAAAATCATCATTAATCCAATCTCTCACTAGGGGGTCATTACCGATATCATCTGCAAGTGAGTTCGCTCGCCAATACTCTCCTTATAACCCTTTGTCTTAAGGCACCGTTCTTGTCAACAATTAGTATTTTCTTTTCTGGCACTTTCATCATGATTTTCCTTCTTTCATGTTCACTCTCTTGAGTGGTTCCACCTCATGAGATTTTTCTCTAGGCTAAATGGCCGCTTCGTCTGTTGGGTGTGCTTCAGTCGGGATAGGGCTTCTCTGGTCACGGTTTGGATTATTGGGGGAAGGGTGGGGGTTGGTATTGGGGAGCCTTACTTTACAGGGGCGTTGCAACGTGGGAGGTGGCTGCCCTGTCGGGGGTGGGGCAGATTTGTGGTTTATCCTTGTCTGGGGCCGGGGTGGGAGAGTTGGTCGCCTTCAACCCCGGCGGGGGCAGATAGGGATAAGGGGAGGGCGAATGTATCCTCTAGGAGGGAATTTGATGCCTTTGCGGATGGGGGGGAAGGAGGGGGTCTGTTCCAGGTTGGGGCCGAGGTGTTTTTCCTCGGCAGTGGCAGCATGGAATAGGGTTTGCGAGCAGGGGGAAGTTTCTTCGCGCTGTCAGCGCGAATACCCTTACAAAGGTATCCGCCCCGGTTTTTGCAAGTGACAGAAAACAAGTTTTGTTCGAAATTTGATTACACTGTACGAGTCACGGTTGCATTTTTTTCATGCTGACTGAATGGTTGACTAAAAGTAGAGAGTATGTGGGCGTACAATTTTGAGGCGCACGTGATGGTTCTTATTTTGATGTTATAAAGTCGGCGTTCCCGCCGGTAAAAAAAAATATTTTTGAAAATTTTGATTAAAACTAGGAAGGTTTTCTTTATGTTGAAGTAACCATGGTGCGTGTACGCACATACGGAAGACGACATCAGACTGAATGTTGCTTTTGGGCGGTAATTGGAGCATGCGAGAGAGAATAGAACGCGAGTAGGGATCTCCGCGTGGTGGACGCGGAAGGTTGATGGCCGTTGACTTAGTTGACAGGCCGAAGGAGTGATCTTGGAGTAGCGGATCCGTATGTGTAGCAATACCCATTTATATGGGCTTCTTCTAGTGCCAATGCCAGCCTTGGGCATAGCACTAATAGTTATGACAATGAACTTTCAAGGCGGAGGTATGGGGATCGAGGGCGGCAACATACGGCGATGGAACGGTGGAGTGATTGAAGATACCGAAGGGTTGAGGGCCCGACGGGGCTATCCCCCTTGGTTTTGTTGCCGGGCCCATCCATGAGCCCGGTCGACATAACTGAGAAGGGCATCAACGGTCTCCCTTCCCCAAAGCGCGAGTTCGCGATGCTCATGTTTTTATTTTTACTTTTATTTTTATCTTTCTCTAGTTATTTTTAGTTGTCGGTCCCGTTTCTGGCACGCGGGGACAATGTTGGTACAGGAGTTGTGTGTGGGGACCAACGGGTGTAGCTCAATTGATACGCCCATGAACTGTTGAAACCGTGGGCTGAGGAGTTCAACATACATGCAAACTCATTGGGTTAGCCCACGAAGTGGAGGAAACCTGAGTGGCGAGAACCGTTTGCAGGTGCGTCTTCCGCCAACCTCGACTCGGATCTGTTGTGGAAACTGAACGCGGGCACGCTAATGAGCTGGTGTCATAGGTTTGGAACCAACACTGAGACCCGCTGGCTAGCACAGTTAGTACAACCCCCAACTGTTGAAACCCAGACCTAAGTTCGAGCTCCACTACAGTTGGTCAGGCAAGTTCGAGTGGGAGCTTTACGGCACAAGTGAAAATTCAACTACCGGTCTTTTTTTATTTATTTATTATTATTATTATTATTTTATTTCGTAAGAAGGGGCCGCCCTTGTTCCTCAGTCCAGGACGCAGGTCCTTGTCGCCTGTCCGATCCAAGCGAAAGACATCGTCAGGTGGGGTGTTTGGCTGGGACGCCACAACTGGGGGCATACCGCCCTGTCCCACTATCTGCTGTGTGAGGTTTGATTGTGAGCGTGTCCGGTTGGGACCCGAAAGGACAGTGAACAAGGCTGAGCATAGTGGGCCAAGGGCACTGTGGGGAGGCTCACAGCAGTACTGTCGTGCAAATCGTTCGTCGAACTTGGGTATAAGGGCGAATCGAACCGTCTAGTGGCTTGCGTTCTCTGGAGCTTCCTTTGAGACAGTCGAGCTGCTCTGAGCGCTTCCCGACCGCTGTGGGATCGGCGGCTGTCAAGAAGTTGCGCTCACAGCAGAAGAAGTGAGGAGCAGGGCACAACCAGGGAATGTGTCGTCCGTCTGGGGCGAGAGGTTTGAGTGTTAGCATGCCGGTGGGCATTGGAGAGATGGTGAGCCATTGTGTGAAGTAGAGCGGGATAAGAAGAGGGGGCGCTGATTGAAGCCCGCGGCAATAGCTGCATGCAACCCATATTCGTTGAACAGGCTGGTATGATGGCAGATGCACCTGGGCGCGATTTCGTGCCAGATACATCTGTAGGTAAGAAAGGAGAACACGATGGAAAAGAAGCTTGGGGGAAGGGAGAATGAATACCTCGTCCGATTCTTGACAGAATCAGGCGAGGGAAGAGCCGAAGTTGAGGTTTTGGAGCCAGGCGAACCGGAATTTGGCATTAGTTTTAGTAGTAAATTAGTAGATTAAGGGGTAGAAAGAAAATGAGGTGCGCGGAGGTGCCGAGAAAACGGTCATGGAATAAGTAAAAATGGTGTAACTCGCCCGTCCCTTGATGAAAACGGGTGAGTAAAGATGTGAAATGGGGGGTTCGAGGCATTACAGAGAGATTGGGCACGCCAGTTCTTGCATTCGAGCAACGGTTTGTTCGGTACAGGTTGTAGAGTCTGCGCGCGGCATGCACTATCTAAACTGGGAGAAAATCGGCTTTGTCTATTTCCCACTTGGGAACGAGCGAGGTACGGGTTTTATCCCGAGGTTTTGACCCCGGGCGAGTCAATTGGTCGTGTTAGTTTTTGTGTTAGAGTGTTAGTTTTGGTGC